GTAGGAACGTTGGCGACCAAAAAAACTCTGAAGGGGATTGCCGGAAAAAATTGGCAAGAAAACCAAGAGCTCTCCTCAAAGTTAAAAAAGGACAAAATTGTTAACTTTTTCCTTCTCTTTTACTTCCCACGCATGGATGCACTCCAAAAAATGAGAAGAGTCCCTCCATTTAAATAGGCATTTTCATGGCTCTTCATTTTGTAACTTATATGCCATGAAGGCACATTCAATAGCCATGACTCACCATCATTAGTAATATTTTTAATGGTGTGTTAATACCACCATTAACATGGGGGTTACACCCATAATGTTTAAAATTCTTCCTATTTAATTGGAGATTAATGGCCAGTTAACTCCGTAGAAGTGGAATAATTTTAAACATTACGTAACGGGTTAACTCTGAGAATCAATTTCTCATTCACCTTTCTACCATTTTTGGCGTATAATATATCAAAATATTTATCTCATTTAAGAGAACACACGTTCATTAATTAACAGTTAAAACCGTTAGTGGATCTATTGATGATTATACCCAAGTTAGTCCATTTAATGCCTATTAAAATACCAAAAATTCCAACACCACAATCACACTTCTTTTCAAGCCACTCACTCACTTGGAGCACCGGGGGGGTTCCACCATTGGTCATTCCATGTTGTCCATTCCATGTAGGATCACACCACTGTGTGCGGGAAGTGTTACACATGGCCTAAGAAAGCATATATTAAACTCCAAGAAAGTTCCTTAAATCCAACAACTATATCTTGACAAGAAAATACATATATTACCATAAGGGTTTAACACAATAACAGTCAGAGAAGAAGCAGCCTTGTACACAATAGGATACATATATCAGTATATGTACACAATCTTTTTATAATAAAAAAGGAAAAAATTAAATAAATAAATGATTACAATAATTGGTAATGTTAGTTGAAAACCAAAAAATACTTTACGAAACCCAAAGTTGAAACAGAAAAATTATGTAAAATTAAATAAAAACAGATAAATAAATGCACCTAGCAAGCAGCAACTGTGAACCATTGGTGTAGCCCTGTAGAGCAGGTCGGCAGAGTTGCATCGGAGAAGAAAGCCCTTATCCAAGTTGAAACATGCAGGTTGAGTGTTTTTTGTTTCAAATTCAACGCACAGGTGGGATATTTATGGTGTTTTAAAAAACACAAGTCATATTTATTGTCCTTTATAAAAAATGCATGCTTCAACCTACTTGACGCAATCGCATCTAGCCTCAAGGCTTCCTCTCCCAAAATAGGCCTGATCTGCGCCTCAAGGCGCAGGGCAGAATGTCTTTTCAGATGTTGGGTAAAACTTAGAACATTGATGCTTGCTTAAAGGTTAAACAAAAGCCCTTAAACAAATAAACAAAAGTTGAGATATATTTAAACTTTTGGGATACAAAAGAAAGAGTGGAAAGATAATTTAGGGATGGGGACAATAAGACAATCAACTTTCAAACTCTGGAAAGATATAAGAATTTGTAGCTCCAAATTAAAGAAATGCAGACCTTTCACTTTGTAGGAAAGCTCTTCAGAAATCAAAGCACCAAAGCCAGTGTATGTTGTTGTACAAACAGAGTAACTTTTCCTTCGCCTCCTCTTCGCTATACATCATAAACAAAAACCACATATATAGGGCTTTAAAAATCACATCAACATGTAGAAAATAACAACCACAGAGGATTCACAAAACCACAAATCAACATGTAGAAAAATAACAACCATATAGGGTTCACAAAACCACACATCAAAATGTAGGCCTTGACCGTGCTATGATTCGCGTCAACGATTTGGATAAAAATTTAATGGTATAATTAACTACGAAAATGCTAAAGCTAAATATTTCCGTTAGATAGCTTTTTCAATACGCTAACTGTAAATTCTAATGTTGTTGCCAACCGAGCCCGTAGAAAATAACAACCATAGGGGATTCCAACCCCAACATCATTATATAGAAAATAACAATTAAAGGGGGGTTTATGAAAGCCAACAAACAAACATGTTATATCCAACAAACATTCATGTTGGAGTTTAATCTCAAATGATTCCCAACAAACTAGCCCCAACACTTGGTTTTGTCCTACAAAAGGATCGATGCAGGTAAGGGGTCTATTACAAGCGCAATATCGCAAAAGGCCATAACAAGACACATCTCGAGGGGATACTTAATGTAACGCTCCAAAACATACCCTAAAATTATTAATCAATAAATAATCAATTAATCACAGTTGTTTTGATTAAAATAAATTATTGTTGGGCTTTGGGCCGATATGAAATTTGTTTTGACATCTAATATAAAAATCTGGATAAGTCTCATAGAGATAAATCCAATATGTGGACTATTTGTGTGGTCTTGATTGGGAACCTGAGTACAGACCCAAAACAAGAGTAAATAAAGAATTTGTTTAGAATGTAAATATTGAAATGATTTGTTGAAATAAATCATTAGAAAAAAATGATATGAATTAAATGTGAGAAACCTTTTCGAATAAAGATCAACTAAATCAATTTTTACTATGTCAAAGTCAAACACCCAAAAATATGATGTCAGAAAAAGTATAACCAACAAATATAAAAATTATATCGTTGGATAGAGTTTAACTGTCCAATCGCAAAGGTGCAAACGGAATTCAATTCGGAGAAAGCTGGACCAAAAAAATGTATCCCGACTGGAACCAAAATTGGTCCCAATCAGGGACACTGTGCGAACGGCGCCTCCCAGCGCACTAAGCCGATCGTGAGTTGATTCCTACACAACATCCTGTGTCTTGTTCTTCATCATCTTCACTATATAAAGAGCTAAAAATTCTCATCCTTCACCAAAAGTTGTGAAACTACTACCAATGTGTTCTTAAGAGTGTGGGGAGTACTCTGAAATAGTT